TGCCAGGTGCACGGTCTGCTGGCTGGGTGCTGGCAGACTTGCACCTGGCACGGGCACCGTAGCCAGCCCGTGCCCCTTTAAGGGGTCCGGGGCCGGGAGGGGGGCATAGAGTTTCCCTGGTGTTGGCCAGAGTGGCCACCAGGGAAACCTGGGGAGGGCAAGCCTCCCACTAGTTCGAATTAAGGGGCTACACACCCCTTAATTCGAACTAGTAAGTTCGAACTAGGCTTAATCCTCGTAAAATGAGGTTTTCCTAGTTCGAACTAAGCGCTCCGCTAGTTCGATTCAAACTCGAACTAGCGGAGCGCTAGTGTAGCGGCTATGAATGTTAGTTCGAACTAACGTCCGTTAGTTCGAACTAACATTGTAGTGTAGACATACCCTATGTGACAAATGCCAACATTTCAGATACATCTGAGTCTGCTCTTGTCACACTTTTTCATTCATCTAAATTGGCTGAGATCTCTGATGCACGACCTCCCTTAGGGTATTTTCAGTACTTGTTGTGTCTGGATGGGATGGGGATATAAAGTAATGTTAGGGCAGGTGCTACCAAGTGACAGTTACTCTTAGTCTTGCAAGTTATTTCTTAGTGTACAAGACTATGTCTATAAGAAAGACGCGTTGTGTGGTGCTATATTTGAACTTTGAGAGCAACAGGAGAGTTTGCTCTCTGACTGGATCTCTAATTAGCAGCAATTCTTAAAGTAGAGTTGCTCCTTAGGAACCAGACATTAGTATTGGGTGGAGAGTCTTGAAAGAAGTAAATGTCTGCTTGCCATTTGACCATGTTTGTTCCATGTCACTAATTTCTCCATCTCTGTGAAAATGTCCTGGAAGACCTTGGCCTAGGGATATCTGCTGCTGCTCAGCAGAAGATTAACGGCAACATAAGAACAGTCTCATTGGCAGTAAGTTAGCACGCCTGTATTTGGTGAGAGCTGTTATAGGTAGAGGCAACAGGGAAAATATTTTTTGAAAGTTACTTTAAGTTCTGTTGATTGCTTATTTTCTGGGCAGAGGTTAAAGTTGGTTCTTATTTTTTCCAAACTTCTGTTTAGCTCTACTTAGTAGTTTCTAGTATACTTGGAAATGGTGTTTGCTAATATCTTACCTAACTGTTCGCCTTTGTGATTTCAGTGCAAGGAGTTCACTGCCCACTCTGGCTATGAGGTGCTTGTCCAGCGAATGTTGGATGGAAGAAAGATGGCAAAAGATGTGGAGGACTTACTCAAACAGAGGTAAGAAGAGGTGGCAAAAGAGGTACGAAAGGCTATTTATGAACTCATCTCATGGACTCCTGAGCACTCTTGTAGGAGCTGCAGGATGATTCTGCAGGTCACTTCAGAATTTGATTGGAAGAATATAGTCATACAGATTTTTAAATACAGAGGTCTGTACAGAAACGATCTGTGCGTCAATGAGTTCTTAGCAGCAAAGCACTGGTGCATGAATCATTTGAATGATAATCCGTACCCCTTCCCCCGCAATCCAGAGAGCTAATTTAAGACATATTTCTGAAAATTAAATGAATGAAAATAAACAATGGCAGAGTTATACCTTGTCATGCAGTTAAACACTGTTTGGAGGAGGAATTGTAGACATGACCAAGAGGAAAGACTAAGTCATCTAGCCCTCTGTACCAATGCAGGATTTTTGCCCTTGTGCTATATATACAGATAGACTTGAGTTTCAAAGTTAAGATCCAATATTTTTCGAAAGATTTTTCTTTTTGGTGGGAGTGCAATAGAGAGAGATTTGGAAGGACTTCAGAGCCTGAATTCTATTGAGACCCATCTCTAATGAGTTGTGGTTTGTAGATACTTAACGGCACATGCCCAATTTATTGACTAACGCATCGTTCCTCTTTATTAACATCTAGAAGTGAATCATCACTGGTTCTCTTCCGTCAGGGCTGTTCCCCATTCTGGCACTATGAGTGCAGAAGATGGAGGCCCGCAACAGACCTTAAATATCTTGCCTCTATAGGCTCTGCTGACAAAAACTACCCAGAGTGACAGATTCGCTGACTTTTCTGCCACTACCAAATGAAACAAAAGAAAACCCTTTTTTTCTTGAATCCAGGAAGAAAGTACTTGGACTTCTTCCAGAGGGATATCTCCAATCTCCTTTACCACATGAGAGCTTAAAAAAACAGAGAGAAAACAAACTGCAGTCTCTGGTATCTGACTTCTCAGTCTTAGGCAGGCACACACACAGACAGACAGACTTCCTGTTTCTTTCCAGGACACAAGAATCAAATCATCACCTCAAAAAAGGTGATTTTATTAACAAAACAAAAAGCTATGCTTGATTAAGCATACTTAGTTGCTAGGTGTTATGGAACAACCAAGTAAAACAAATTAAAACACAGAGAACATCTCTGGGTACACACTTAGGGTATGTCTACACAGAAAAGTTACAGGCAGTCCCCGACTTACGCGGATCCGACTTCCATCGGATCCGCACTTACGAACGGGGCTTTTCTTGCCCCTGAGCTCACGGGCAGCGACTCGCCGCCCGTGTCCTCCGGGGCGAGAAAAGCTTCTTCCGGTCTCCCTGGTCTGCTGGGGGGGTCCAGCAAAGCCGCTGGACCCCCCCAGCAGACCAGGGACACCCGAGCAAAG